AAAAATTAGTCTATGAAAGACACAAAAACCCACACGCCATCTATTGATAAGATCTTATACTTCTCAACACGATGTCTTAAAATTCTAAATGCTCCACAAGATATGTCTTAAAATTCTGCTTTGTAGTACACCAAACCTTCTTTTAATCAACGTTACACGTGGCGTTGTTTAATGAAAATATTTAATGTTCCCCATTCATCAAATAAAAAGAATAAAAAGGAGTATTTTCAACTATTATTTTCTTTACGAGTTTATGCAAAAATTTGTTGAGTATTATGTATTGTTATTTATTTTTACATATATAATTAATATAGATATAAGGGTAAAAATCATTTTACCTCATTGAATAGTAACACCACCAACCTGCTATTATATTTACTTGCAAATTCTCCAATCCTAAATACTAAATATTTTAGATATTATTTCTAAAATAGTTAATTATTGAAATTTTAAAACTTTAAGTTGATTTGTGATAAATTGATAATAAATATTATTAAATATATTTTATTTTAGATATTAAATTAAAAAAATTAAATTTTACAAAATTAATTTAGAATACTTGAGCAGCCTAACAAAATAAAAAGTGTTCAATTATGAATAAATAATTTGAATATAGTAAAAATTATAACCATTTGTCCTTTCTATTTACTACATCAGAGTATTAAAAAACTAAATATTTGTCATATATAAATAATTATTGTAATTAGAATATAGGAGTTCACAACCAACTAAACTAAATATAACTAGGTTTCAAATTGCAGTCTTTTAATAGTTTCTAAATAAATTTAAATAATTTTTTTATAGTTGACAGTTTTTTATTTAGTTAAACTGGTGCAAATAGTTTAAATTAATTTTATAAATTTAATTATATTTGAATTTAATAACTAAAATTAAATATATTTAATAATATTTATTGTCAATTATAATGCATTAACTTAAATTTTTAAAATTTTAACAATTAATTACTTTAATAGTAATATTTAAAATATTTAGTATTTAAATTGAAGAGTTCAAGAGACAAATATAAATATATTAACAGTGTTAGTTTTGGGATGGGGTTAAATAGTATATGATAGAGTTTAAAATGATAAATAAGATAGAGAAAAAAGTTCAAGAAGATATTTTAGAAAAGAAAAGCATGAGCCCAACAATTAACAAGCAAACCTCTAGTCTATATCTATAATAAAAACAAAATTATAGCTAAGAATCTTGGCACATATAAGACCCATATTAATGATAAAATAAAATAAAAATGATAGAATTAGAAAGCTCCACACATATTTCATTTGTACAAGAAGATTGTCATAGGTTTTAGATTTTTATCACTTTGGTTGTATCAATAGTTTACCATTCATAAATTTTATAACTTATAAAATTGGTATAAAATGAAAATCAAGCTCTCTAAAAATAAATAGAAATAAAATTTACAAAACAAAAAATAATAAACTTCCAGAAAAGGGCATGGGTTAAGCAAAGCAAGTCTGTAGCTAGAATGTATAGTTGACAAAATATTCATCTATGACTAGATATTCACCACTTACCTAACACATGTTTAATTACACTCCTCAGTTTCACGCTTTGTAGTGAATATGTAAATTGGCTTAAAATTTGGAGCTCCTTTTGGTGCTTATAATTTCATGAATATGACCTAGGTTTACGCTCCACTTGGTATGAATTATTGATAAGAGGATAGAATTTGATTAATTAATCTCCATTCGGATGCGTTGTTTTTGTAGGGTAATTTTATTCCAATCAGTCTCTATTTACCCATGTCAAGTCTACCTTGTCAAACCTGGCCATAAAAGTAGGCACCTTTGCACCTTCGAGCATGTGGTGTGCGTGTGCGTGTTTGAAAGCAAAGATATATATTTCATAAAATGAGAAGTTAAACAACTCCGGCTAGAATTACTCCTAGGTAGTTGATCAAACACGAGCAGGTCAAGCTAGAAATTAATTTAAAAAAATGCCTGAAGAAACCAAAAATGTTGCCACAGCTAGAGGTGCAAATGACTTGAATCAATTCACAAGAGAGACTTATAGTTTAATTTAATAATTACCTCAATAAGTTAAGCTTATGAAATAAATGAATTAGACTTATGCAACAAATGAGTAACGCATCATTCAGAATTTTTGAGGTTATAAGTTAAAGAATATTAAACTCATTTAGTTATATATATATATGTATTTTAATATTTAATATAATTTTATTATATATATTTTAAAAAATATTATAACCACTTTATTTTATGACTTAAAATAAAGAATATGTTAAATGTCCAAAAAAACCATCTTGCTTAAAAAAGGGAAAGAAAAGAAGTTTAAAAGATAAAGTTATGAAAGAGTAGAGGACTCAAGGAAAGTCCAAGAAAATAAAGAAGTCCAAAAATGGGTAATGGCTTCATCCTTGGCTGCTTATCTCCATAAGTTAATTTGTTTTTATTCTCACTTCCATCTTACTTATTTCGTACTCAATCTCTCACCCTTACGGTGATTGGTGTTTCGGGTTTTAGCTCTTAGATCTCACATTTTGCACCCACCACTACCACGTGATAAATAAACTTTTGTCTCATAAACTATTTGACCGTTTATTTTTGTCACTTTTTTAATCCAACCTATGAAATGAAAGTCTCACCCGAATTTCAATTTGTGTTGCATTTTCAGGCTTCGTACAATCTTTTATATTTTTAATTTTTCTCATCCCTTGTCATCCCTCCCCCCCCCCCCCCCCCCCCCCATCTCTCTCTGGGACAACCTCCATCCTGGAGATAACATTGTACGGTATCTGTGACAACCTCCATCCAGATACATTGTACGGTATCTGTGACAACCTCCATCCTATAGATAACATTGGACGGTGGCCTGTTGTAAGTTGCCACGTAACTTGCATCGTACGCATGAATCCAAGCTGTCTTGCTGTCAACCTGCAGCCCTACAAAAGTACCCCGCAAAAAGTTAATAATATTTCCATACACACTAGTAACTATTTTTTTTTTTTTTTCATATATAAGGGCTAAATTGAGAGATAAAAAGGGAAGTGTTAAGATTAAATTTAATAACTATTTTGTTATTTGAATTAAATTTTTTCTCGTTGAATTCAAAATAATAATGGAAATATTTAAATTGAAGTATAAAAATTCTTAAAATTTTATAAATTATAATATAATTATTATTTAGCCCTCCTCTATAATAAATTAAAGTTGACAATCCTAACAATTTTGGAAGGATACAAGATCCAATCAAAAATATTGGCAATGACTTTACGTGCGACTTCCATGACCAACCCCAACTGCCACAACAGCGTCTATGGAAGACAAGTAATTTCTTGACTAGGGGTTAATAATCATCTTCTTTTCAACGTTGAATGTCATTGTTGCTTAACACTTTATTATTGTATTTTTTTCAATTTTAAAATAAAGTTTAGCACAAAATCATTATTAAATATTTTAAAAATTCCTCTCTCAACTCTATAAAAGGAAAGAAGAGGTTGAATCCTCTACATTCATATCAAGCCTGACAAATATCAGTAGACACCCTTCCGCCACAACCGTTCATCCATGCAGTCTTTCAATGTTAAGGCCGTTCTTACGGTGAATTCAACGGCCGGCGGCTTCTTATCAAGCCTTAAATTGGTCGGAAAATCAATCCACTTGGAGCTTGTTAGTGCAGAACTTGATCTCAGTAAGTATTTTTTACCGAGAACAGAGAACTTGAAGCTTCTGCTTCTTCATATGTTCTTTCTTTTATATTGTTTTGCCTATTCTTTTTTTGTAAAACTTTCTGTTTTATTGGTGCATGAATTTTTCGGATTTTTAATTTTTTTTTTGTTTATAGAATAAGAAAGTTAGTCTTGTTTTCCGTTTGCTTTTGTTAAAAAATTTCGTCTCCAAAAGGCTTTATACCTAGTCTTAGCTTTGCCAAGGCCTTGACTCTTAAAAAGGTTTTAAACAGGAGTTTTGTGATAGGAAGATACTTGGCCAAACTCAATCCACAACAAACAGGTACAACGCATATTTCAAACTTGTTTTTACGGGTGGAATAAATCAATTGGTTGATGGCTCAAAAACTTAGCATTTTTATTTAAATAGGTGTGGTTTGATTACATTTAATGTAACTCGTGGGTCTGACATGTCATTTTATATAATTAATTATATATAAAATATATATTTAAATACTTATGCCATGTAAATTATATATTTATACAATATAATATAATATATATAATATATATCTTCATAGTTTAAATAAAGGTTTGGGCTAGTAGGCTAATAAGGCTAGTTTTACCAGTTTTACAAATAAATCAGGTGAAAATTAATTTTTTTGTCCTATCATAAGTTATAACTCAAGTCTAAGTTAGTAATTTTTATAATAAATTTGGCTTTCTAAAATTTTGACCTCACTCAACCAGCTTTATTCCCATTTTTACATGCCTTGGCTTCTAGATTTGTTTGGATTTCTTTGGTTAGTTTTTATTTTTAATAAAAAAATGTGTGTGGGCAAAATTTATGTTCTATTTTTTATAATGAAAATAATGTAAATAATTACTTTACTAGTTCATTAATTTGGTTCATAAATACATGAATTTGGATTTGAAATTGAAAATTTGAAGTTCTATTATTTCAGACGCGTGTGAACGCTGCAATTTAAGTTTGCAAACGTTCTAGTTGTATTTTCTTTCTATTTATATATATCAAAAAATATAATTAAAGAGATACAATTTTCACTCAATGGCATTATCCTAATTGCAAACAAGTTTTATGATTTTTACTTCTTTTTAAAATATTATTGTGAGATAATAGTCGCATTCTTTTATAATTCATGTTAATATATGTGCCATGACAAGCTATTATTTTTTATTTTTTTATTATATAAAAAAATACTAATTTTAATTTGAATGTTGGTAAAGAGACGGGAAAAGAGAAGGAGACAATCAAAGGTTATGCGCATCGGAGTAGCCAAGAAAAGGATGAGGTTAAGTACGAATGTGATTTGAGATTCCAGAAAGCTTTGGGGTGATTGGAGCTGTGTTGGTGGAGAATGAACTGCACAATGAGATGTACCTCAAGAACATTGTGTTTGATGGATTAGCCTATGGCATCCTTACTGTCAGCTGTAACTCATGGGTTGCTCCCAAGTCTGATAACTCTGAGAAGAGAATCTTCTTCACCAACAAGGTCAGCACCATTAACATTCCACCACTTTAATTTTCCTTTTTGCTATTTTGATATTTTGAAGTAAAAAGCAAGAAACTAATATATTTATATATTTGATTTCCCAACGAGGGCAAAGTGAAAAATATAAATGGTCTCTCGTATCATGTTTTAATTTGAACCGTGATCTAAGTTGGATTCGAATTTTATAATTTAAATTTAACTAAAATATTCGATAAATCAAATCAATTACAAATGTCCACAATTCAAAATTTGTAAATCAAACATGAAGTTAAGTAATTCATTCCATTAAATATTAGAATATAAATTGTAATAATATTTTTATTAAATTAATAATTTTAAAAATATAACATTAATAAATTCAAAATTAAGGGATTAAATTGAGAAAATTAAAAAAAATAGAGATCAATATAATTGACAAAATAAAGTTAAAAAATTTAAGTACAAAAAGAGTATTATTTTCTTGTCAAATCAGTTTTTTTTTTATCAAATTTCAGACTATTTATTATATTTGGATATAATTTAATAAATATAAATTTTATAAAATTTTAAATTAAATTCAGATATAGAAATAGTTAATTGAAATTCAAATTTAAATTTACTACACAAGGCTTTATTACTATGGATTTAGTAATACAATGACATATTCTCATGACATCAATTGTCCACTGCAACATAGAAATATAAGGTTTAGTGTCTCACAATCTGTTCAAAGAGTTTTTGGCATGACACTAAGTTTTAGCGCCCCAACATCTATTAGATGGATATCAGCAGATAAATAACCATTCAATCGGATGCTGGAAAACTAAAAATTTGACAAACACACTGGTGCAACATTAGAGTCGTCTTTGACTTTTGATATTGTGCATTTGAATTTGTATACCTTTGTGGAAGATTTAGGCGTTGATTGATTTTCCGTGGATTTAGTGAAGTGGGCATGATTAATCCTTTTACGAAGAGTTATTCATCAGCACAAGGCAAGCGTGTTTGTCTTGGGTCTGCTGATGTATTATCTGATATCCTCTGCTGCTTTAGGGGTTTCTGTAGACTCCGCGGGGTGTGTGTATATATTATGTAAGAAATATAAATGAAGAAGTAATAAAAATAATTTTATGGGTGAATAAAATAGATTTTTCTTCATACTTATTCTATTTAAAACCACTTCTTTTAGACTCATTTTATTTAAATTCTTCTTTTTTCAAACTCATTTTTCTACATCCATTTACCAAAGTTATTTTTTCTAAATCTATTTTTTTATTCTGAATTTATTTTTTTTTCTAAATCCGCTATCAAATGATATCTTAGTATTAGAGATTTGAGTCTCTTTGCGTTTCTAGACCTTTTCTCCTTTTCATAAATAAAAGTATTAAAAATTTTAATGGCAACAAATTTCAATTAAATTACTTTTAAAATGGATTTGATAAATTAAATGAGACTAATAATCTCGAACGGACCTTTTGAGGTGCTTCTATTTCGCTTTTGCCAGTTCATTCCACAGCACTAGATTACACTTCTTTTCTATTTGCTAAGGTATTAATTTTAATATTCTATCACTTTTATAGTAATATAAAGGGGCGCAAATGCCTTTTTGCACCAGATTTATATGATTTCACATGAAAATGACATAAATTTATTGTAGAGCTCTTAATATATTGGATTCATATCAAATTAAGTAAATTCAAATTAAAATCTAATTACCTATTTATGCATTTAGATTTGTATCAAAATCTTATTAAATTTGTTTCTTTAATTCATATCCGAATCTGATAAATAGTTTAAAATCGATAACAAGAAAATAATGTTGTTTTACACTTAAGTCACTCAATTCTATTTTATCAATTATACTAATATATAAAATTTCTAATTTTTCTAATTTGGTTTGCTCAATTTTGTATTTACTAATGTGTTATACATACATATACATAACACACACATATATATTAACTTAGTAAAAAAATTACTAAAAATTTGATTAATTGTTTTAACAGATCAAATTATTTAATTTCATATCTGATTTATTTGTTTTGGATTATAGATATTTACAATTCATCAAATTCATCATATATTTTAATTAAATTCAAATTTTAAAATTAAAATTAAAATTTAACTCGTTAACCGTTTATTTGGCGTTGGCTGTGATTTTAGAGGAGAGGAAGGTAAGATTTGCAAAAGTGCACGTGAGAGGGGCCCCTGAGAATAATGCAAAGCCAATGCGAGGGAGTACCCTTGAAATCAATACAAGGGCCAAGTTTATTCCATGAATGATTTCCCTTAGCCAGATCAGATTTTCTTTTCTTATGTCAGAAAAAGCAAAAGCAGAGAGAGAGAGAGAGAGAGAGAGAGAGAGACAGAGACAGAGACAGAGAGACATAAAAGAAAAAGACATTACGAATAGTTTATCTAGCTCCAACACATTATGGAAGAAAACACAAGGTTTGGATGAGGTAGCTATTAAAAAAAGAGAAGAGAACAAGAAAAAAATTATCATTCTTACAAAAATTATATATACCCTCAAAAAAAAGAAATTAAATAAAATTAATCATTGTAAAAATTTGTATTAATTTTGAAGTGTGGGTACCTAAATGTTGGAGACGCAATTTGAATTCACTCTTTTTTGTTATTATTATTTGAAAGTCACGTTAACACGGCTATGCGCATGCATGATCAGTCATACCTGCCATGTCAAACTCCGAGTGGGCTGACGGGGCTGAGGAAAAAGAGAACTAGAAAATCTAAGAGGAAATGGACAAGGCGAACGCAAGACAAATGACCGGATTTATGATTACGATGTTTACAATGACCTTGGAGATCCCGACTCTAAATCTGAACTAAAGCGCCCTGTCCTTGGTGGGAAACTGCATCCTTACCCTAGACGTTGCAGAACTGGCCGACCACACTGCAAGACTGGTACGTATAAAATAAAGAAGGCTTTTATTTTTCTTTATTTAACCAAAGCATGCTCAACTAATCTTGAAAATATACTTAATTTTTATTTTATTTGTAAATGTGGAATTAGAGAACACTTAGATTTTTAATTAATTGCCACGCAAATGCAGATCCATTGTCAGAGTCAAGGAGTGCTAGTGTTTACGTGCCCAGAGACGAGGCCTTCTCAAAGGTGAAGCTGCTTACGTTTTCACTCACGACTGCTGAAGAGGTTGTGCACGCACTGTTTCAAACACTGGATACAATATTTGTAGATCCCGATCTGGGCTTTGCAACCTTTACAGACATTGAATCCTTGTACAATGAAGGGATCAAAATTCCGCCCCTCTCCAAAAATGGGTTTTTGAAGGATCTCTTTCCTGGGATACTCAAGTGTATTACAGACACCGAAGAACAGGTGATACGATTTGACACCCCAAAGCTGTTCGAAAGTAAGTAAATGTTATAATCTAACTATTAGTATAGATTGAAGCATTATTTATCATCATCTTCCATATAGTATTTCTTCTCTAAATCTCGCTCTTATCTCTCATATGGCTTGAATCCTTGACCATTAAAATGCAGGAGACAGATTTTCTTGGTTAGAGACGAGGAGTTTGCCCGCCAGACTCTTGCTGGTGTGAATCCATACAGCATACAGTTGGTCAAGGTATGATTAACTTTATGCTTATTATTATCTCATATTTAGTGCATATAATTGTCTTATACGTGTAATTTTCATACATACAAGCACCTTGTTTTCACTTGATTACTCAATAACATGCTATGTATTTTACGGATCTTGATTGATCTTTTTCCTTAGTTAACCTGCATACATAATGTAGGAATGGCCACTGATGAGTAAACTAAATCCGGAGATATATGGTGCACCTGAATCAGCAATCACCTCAGAGGTGGTTGAGCAACAGATAAAGGGCTTCATGAACCTTGAAGCGGTAATTCACGTAGAAGACACCTTTGTATTAATTAAATTACTTACGCAAAACAAATCCTCATTTATCTAATTTTATTGATGAGCAGGCTAATCAAATTCAATTTGGTACTTGTAGGCCTTGCAACAAAAGAAGCTATTTATGCTGATTACCATGACCTACTTCTACCTTACGTGAAGATAGTAAGAGAGATCAAAGGAACGACACTCTATGGATCAAGGACATTGTTCTTCCTAACTCCAGATGGGACCTTGATGCCATTAGCCATCGAACTTACTCGGCCTCCACTAGACGATAAACCTCTGTGGAGGCAAGTCTTCACTCCTTCCTCGTGTGATGCCACGGCCTCCTGGCTTTGGAGGCTAGCCAAGACTCATGTCCTTGCTCACGATTCTGGCCATCACGAGCTTATTAGTCACTGGTAAAATTTAAACTATCATTAATTTACTATCCAACATCCAAGGTACAAAATTATTGTATAATCCATACTAATTCACCTGCTTACCATCATGGGTGTGGGATGCCGCAGGCTAAGAACTCATTGTGCGACAGAGCCTTATATAATTGCGACTAACCGGCAACTTAGCGCTATGCACCCTATATATAGGCTATTGCACCCTCATTTCCGATACACAATGGAGATCAATGCTTTGGCTCGAGAAGCTCTCATCAATGCCGATGTATCATCGAGACATCATTCTCACCAGCCAAGTATTCCATGGAACTTAGCTCTGTTGCTTATGACCAGCAATGGCAATCGATTTGCAGGCATTACCGGCAGATTTGATTAGCAGGTCGAATTCCTGTCCTTAAAATGAGTTATAATAGTTTAATCTCGCTCGTTATTGACTTCATAGACCCAATAGGACCTAGTACAGAAAAAAAAACATCTTTCTATATTACATCCGTCTCTTTTTTCAACCACCAAATTTCTATAATTTCCAGGGGAATGCTGTGGAGGATTTCAACCGCGCCGCATGGCTGAAACTAACAATCGAGACTACCCTTTTGCAAATGATGGTCTTTCCTCTGGGATGCCATTAGGCAGTGGGTTACAGAATATGTCAAACACTATTACCCAGACGAAGGCCTTGTAAATCTGATGAAGAGCTTCAGCATGGTGGACAGAAATTCGAACAGTAGGTCATGGAGACAAGAAAGATGATCCATGGTGGCCAGTGCTAAATACTTCAGATGACCTAATTGGCACCGTCACAACCATTATTTGGGTTGCATCTGGTCACCATTCAGCTGTCAACTTTGGTCAGTATGCTTTTGGAGGTTATTTCCCTAATAGACCAACCATTGCTAGAAGGAAATGCCACAGAAGACCAGACAGACGAAGAGTGGAATCAGTTCTTCAACAAACCAGAATATGAACTCTTGTTATGCTTTCCTTCACAAATCAAGCTACAAAAGTTATGGCTGTTCTCTACCTGTTGTCCAATCATTCTGTAGACGAGGAGTATCTTGGGGAGGAGATGGAGTCATCGTGGGCAGAGAATCCAAAGATAAAGGCATGTTTTGAACTATTTAATAGGAATCTGAGGGAAATTGTAGGGATAATAGATGCTAGGAATAAAAACAAAAATTTGAAGAATAGGAGTGGAGCAGGGGTGGTGCCATATGAACTTCTGAAACCATTTTCAGGACCTGGAATGACTGAAAAGGGAGTCCCTAATAGCATCTCCATCTAAAACTTTGATGTTGTTAACGCTAGAGTAACACACTTGACTAAAGGATATCCCTAATGGCATCTATCTAAAAACTATTTATTGTTGTTATAGCTAGGAGTAACGCACTTGCATTAAGCATGCTTTAGATGTGATTTATAATTAGATATTTATGTTGTAATATAGTAAAACAACTTTCCGACATTCTTTCATTTTTCAAAAATTCTAGTGCCTTTGCATTTGTATTTCTCTTCATAGTCTATGTTGTGTCACAAGTTAGTGTGAGTTATTGGTGTGCAAATGGGCTTGGTGGTCCTTGAATGCCATAATGTGAAATGATGGCTACGAGGTTATAAATGTTTGGAAATGTTAGAATCCTGTGGATTTATAGAATTATGCGTCCCATATATACAATTCATGTACTCCATCATGTTAGGACTGATGTATTTTAATTTGTTTGTTAAGGGTATGAATAATGTAGTTCAGTTTGAAGTTGGAACTGGGATCTACCCTAGTGGAGTTAATTCTAGGTTTTGCAATTGTGAGATGATTGGCTTCAATTTAAAACTGAATTGAACTTATCAATTTCAGTTCAATTCTTGATTTTCTTTAATTTTTATAGCATAGAATGAAATTTGCACTACAAAAAAAAAAAAAACTTCAATGATAGAAAATTTATATTACTAAATTAATAAAATCCATCGCTAAATCAATTAGTGATCGACTTAACCAACAAAAAAAATGTTTATAAGACAGTTACTACTAATTTAACATGAAATTAGTGATGGAATGTTTAGGGATGGAATGCAAATTTAGGAATGAAATTAGTGACACTTTTTAGTGATGAAAATTCCATGCTAAAAGTTGTCTAAATTACTATGCCAAAACTTTGTAGTGATAGAATTTTTTTCATAAGAAAATTGGTAACTAAAATTTTGCCTACCATTCTGTTAGTAAAATTATCAGTAATTTAGTGGACAATGTTTAACGATGAAATATTTGTCGCTAAATTACCGATAAAATCCATTGATAAAAACTTTTGTTAAATTACCATCAGAAATTAATTACTATATTACTAATAGAATTTTGTCGGTAAGTTATGTCGTTAATTTATTGAAGGAATTTTTATTGCTAATTTGTTTTTGGTTGGCAAATTAACAATGGAATTTCCATCATTAATTTTTTTTCCATTGCAAATACTTTTTCCCAATACAAATTTGTACTACTTTTCATACTACTCAACAAAGAGAAAATAATACAATAATTATTTAAAATTCATAACTTGATAAAATATCTTAATATGAATAATATAACATCCTAATAAAACTAACAAAATCTCAGCAAAAATCAAATATCGCCATTTATCTAGAGAAATTTCAAGATACATATTTGTAAAATCAAATAACAGCCAACTCTATAATAAGACAATCTTAGGGAGCAACTGTAATAACCCAGATTAATTTTAATAGAAGAAGTTAATAAATTAATTTAATTAAGGGCCATTGTGAAGATTTAATTTATTGGGGGCTAAATGGTAATTTAATCAGGGTCTAATGGTGAAACTAAAAAGTTAGGGGCTGATTAGGGAAATCTGAAAAGTTTGGGGCTTAATTGGAACTGTTAGGAACTGAATTGAAGGAAATCAAGTTGGAGGACTAGATTTAAGGAGACAGAAAGTTTCAGTCCAACTTGAGACCAAAACTTTTGACACTCGATCCGCCGCGATGTTTGAAGTTTTCGGTGATTGTTCACACCGTCGCGTGCATATTTAAAAGGAGAATAGAAGCCCTCTCTCAATTTTGATGATTGAGCGAGTTTGGAGAGAGAAATTGAGAGTTTTCTACAGTGGTCTCTTCTTGTGATCTATGATGAAATTCTAGAAAAATTTTGAGGTTTAATCAATTTTAATTCGATTAAAGGCTTGTGGGAAGATCAGCTAGTTGTTTTCGTGATTTTGGAGAGCAAATCGATTGAGGTAAGTATTTATTTTTGATTTATTTTCCATTTTCTTATTTTGGTTTTCCGTTTTGGGTTGTATAGACTCGGTTTCTGTAAATCGAGTCTGTCAACCAGTGCTCGGGTGAACACGAAGGGACTTGGATGATTCGGGTCCCTAGTATCAAGCAATCTGGGCCATTGGGACCGACTCGGTCAGTTGGGTTAGGGGGGCCTGCGGGCCGGCCCAAGGAAAATTATAAAAAGAGGGGAAAAAGGGTTCAGGCTTGGGCCAACCCAAGTTGAAGAACTGGGTTGAGTAGTGGGCCAGCTGCCCAAGCCGATGGGCGAGCCAGTGGCCGACGGCCCAAGTCGGCAAGCTGAGCCACCGAGCCATGAGCCAAGCCGCCTAGTTAAGCCAAGCTGTGAGCTGAGCCTTAAGCTGAGTTGAGTCGGTTTATATAAAAAAAAGAAAAGGGTTGACTGAACTGGACAATTGGTTTGACTGGCCAGTTCAGTGGCTAATTAGCTTAGAATTGAAAAGTTGAACCGGTTCTGGAGTCAGGAAGAAAAGATTATTGGACCAAGTTGGTTCGAGAGTTTGGGGAGGTCTGTTCGACTAAAAATTTAGTTTTTGGTTCAATCGGCTTGTTCAAGCTAGTTTAGGAGTAATTAGCCAGATTCAGCCTTATTTTGGCCATTCTTGACTTGTTCATAGTGGTTCCTAGGGTTTTTAGGCATTTCTAAATCTGATTTTGAGGTTTCATGATCAAATCAGTTCGGTTTGAAATAGTTTTAGGCCGGTTCAAGGTTTTGGAGGTCGTTCATTGTGATTCGAGGGTTTTAAAGGCTAGTTTACCATTGTCGAGGGTTGTTGGGTAAAATTATTGAGTATCAATGAGTCGTGTGGGTTTCGGTGATGAGTTATGATGTCTTGAGATGCATGCTAGAGTATTAGGATGGGATTTGAGCCCAGTTTGGACTACTAAGCCGTTTCTTGTAACGATTTTGGGGTTTGTGATATTTTGTGTGATTTTGATACAGATATGGCTGAGGAGGTGCACCTAAACCGGTATAGTTAGGTGAGGGTGACTCCGGACTTCCCTATTGACTTGGTTTCAGTACTGTGAGTGATGAGATTCTTTTTATGCATGTATTTTTCTACTATGATTTTGGCATGACTGATTTATGTTTTATAAACTGTATTTTGGTATATATATACAGGATATGTGTTATATGGTTGGGTTTACGATCAGTGAGTTATGTTGGTATGCGATACTGTTTTAAGATTGTGAACTGTATATGTATGTATATCTGTTTTGAATTTATATACAGGGAGTTGTGTTATGTATTGAGACTTAGTGTCCTTGTGGACGGAATGTGGACCCTAGTTGAGTGATGGCTATTTGATATTTTTTGATTATGGTTATGATTGTATGCGTATGATTGAGGCTGGATCTTGTGATGTGATAATTAAACTATCGTATGTATGTTTGATATTGAAAACTGCTCACTGTATTTATATGTTATGTGTTATAAACGGTTTTAACTTGTGGTATGATACATATCTCAACATGCATAGGTTAGGTATCATCTGTACTCATTGAGTTTTACTACTCACCATTTATTATCATTTCATATCAAGTTAACTGTTCGTAGTTCACTTAGTAGAAATTGAGCTGAGTTCAGAGATTCATTGATGCATGGCATGTTTCACTATATTATCATTTTGTACTCTAGATTGCTCATTTATTTTCTCAGATCGGATTTGGTTTGTATTTGAGGTTGCAAAATTATGAATTTAAGTTTGGTACCGCTGATGTGCTATGACTAATAAATTATGTAAGATGGGTTTTGAGGCTGACTAGGGTTGATGGGCTCTAGTGTTAGTCACAGGCTCGAGTTTGGGTCGTGACAGGAACTAACATAAGAAAAACAAACTAACAATCCTACTTAGCTCCACTATTCTTGTACATCAAGCTCCTGTATCATACCTTGGATCCCTTCCCTTCCACTAGATGTCATCCTACATGAACAAAACATGCACACATAAGAGACAAAACATACACACATAAGATAATCTTATGTGTGCATGTTTTATTCAATGATGGGCATATCTAGGGTAGAATTTCTTAGCTTGAGATTATGGTAAATAGTTGAAGCTGCTGCAGCCAAAATCATATTCATTACTGGACCAAGATAAAGTCCATCTTTCATCCTACAAAATTAAAAGAACTTTTAGATATTTTTTTTTGTTATTATTTTCCACAATCCACAAAAGTCAACTGGAGCAAATTCTTTGTTGGAAAGAAACAAGAAACTCTCTCTAGTCATTTTTTTACTGTTAGTATTTTAAGAAGTCAAACTAACGTACTTCATCATAGCTTATTATTAATCTTAACTTCATCATATTGTAATTCTATGCAACTCAGCTGTAGTCATTTTTAAATCATTACAATTTCACCCTCCAGCCTAACTTTTGATAGCTAGATCCCAATGTCTTCATTAATTGTTCTCTTACACTCAGAATTTCTTACGAAAATCCCACTTTCGAATCAATTAAGAAAAAAATTTGTCATGATTCACATCAACACTTCTAAAATTTGTCTCTTTAGTCTTAACTAACCGACTTGCATCATCACAAACCTTTGGCATAGGTACTGATACACTATAAGACGCAACAAACCGTCTCTCAAATGTCAATATATCATAGTCTTTGATTCTAGTTCACACACGTAGCAATCTCACTCACTAAGCAATACCATTTAACTGCAAGAATTGAACCTTCACCTTTTTTACATCCTTATCACTTCAATCAAAATGTAAACTCTTTCTATAATTTTTTCCGCTACAAGATTAAAATGGCAGAAAATTAAGAGAACAAGTTAGTGAAGATGTTCCATCTGGTAGTGAATATAAATTTCTCTAGCAATTGCATGAATTATTTAATATATTATTTTGATATTTGACTAATATTTAAAATGTATTGGTATTACTTTGTTCTATTGAGAAACATTCTCATATTTGAATAAAGGATAAAAGAGATGCTATGTCCTCAAGATATAATGCTAGTGTTTTGATTGTGTTGT